AGCTTGTCACTGTCAATATTACATACATTTTGCATGACAGCTGTTTACATCTTCAATTTTACATGGTTCCACACTAAGAAAGCACAGAGTTTCGACTAATTTTTATGCAGAATAAAATTAATTAATTAATAAAAATAAATTTTAAACATGCTTCATATCGAATGTAGTTTTTTGCTGATTGTAGTACTTCAGTAGTACCTTTCTGCCACAGCTGTCCATGTGGGGGAGACCTTGTTTAAATGTCACAAAGAAATGGGGCTTTTCCAACATGGCTAGCTGGGCTAAAGATTCTCTCAGAACAAACTTATTTTTGACACATTTTTTTTAAATTATCATTTCAGCACATGATCAAAGTTTGATAGAAAATAAAAAGGTATAAAGCAAGACTAACTCTTATAAACGTGGTAAAAACAGCTTCATTGCTGGATCTTTAGTGCACTGTAGTGGACGTGCAAAACAGGCTGTTCCGTCATCCTTTCTGAAAAGCTCTGCATCTTCAGTCCACACAGATCCACAGAACAAATTGATCAACTTGGAAGGTGTTTTTTATTTTATTTTATTTTTGAAGTTTTTCTCACCAAAAACTTGATTGCACGTGAACAAGATGTGCAAATGCAACAGAATCCTCGATTTTTCATAATGACCAGAGTAGTGTGGACAGGGCTTTAAATGGTTCAACACCCAGATTTGTTAAATCACTTTGAGTAAGCATTAGTTACAATTGTCTTTATCTAATTGTGTGGTTCTATTTTTGCACATAATAAGGTCTAGTTTGTCATGAGAAAAAAACCTGTATATTCCTTTAATTTTTAGTATATCCTAGCTACAAATATCAGTGACAAAACTTCCTGAGACCAGAATTGTCTCGGTACATGGCTGAGGAATATGGTCAGCTAATGATAATAAGTTGTAGCAGGGATGAGACAGAGGATTAACGGGTCTCGATCTTCTATAGCTGAGCTTCATAGCATGGTGTGGAAGTGATTATGGCCCTTAAGCTCCCATGACATGGATATCTCCTGGCTCTGCAGCAGTCTGTCAGGGGATCATACTTTAATCTGATTGCAAAGACACTAGGTATGACACAGGCGCCCCAGGAATGTAACCTGTCATTAATATCAATTACAGATGGATTCAATTGCCAATAATCAAGAAAGTCTAGGAATTCCTCACTGTTTTCCATGGGTAGGTGGCTGTGCTGTAAACATGTCAAAATATTAGATTTTTCATTTTTATTTGAATACTTTCTATATGCGCATCGTCAATGATAAAAAAATAACCACTAAATATGCATCAGTCACTACCAAAAGTCTAATGCAAAATTTGTAATTGAACAAATTCAGCAAAGTCGTGTTTTGTTGCTAACAAAGACGAGTTATTTGTTGACAATCGAACATTGATCAGTACACTTCGGACAGTCCACAACAAATATCTAGACAGTAAAATAATCCCCGGATGTAAACAAAGTCAGAGTATGGAATCTGAGACACCAGGTCGAAAGCAAAAATGTAAAGTTCTTCGCTCTTCGTATGAGGCCCTGTTTACACGAAAACGATTTCTGGTGAAAATGAAAAAAGTTTTGTTGCGTTTGTAATGTTCATTTACACGAAAATAGGAAATGTTTTCTCTAACAACGGCACAATTTGAGAACAGGTTCCAGAAGGCAATCCATCAAAAACGTCTCGGTGTCTGTTGTCGTGCGAACAGAAAAAATAGATCTTTTCTGTCAGGGAATCCCTGGCTCATGCGCAGTGTGACGCAAAACGTAACGGCTTCCGACGTTCCACAGAAGAAGAAACTATCAACAATGGCGTATACCAGAGTATTTTTTGTGCTTTTGACTCGTAGAAATCTATAAATCTAATTTCCACGGACTACTTTCAGTTTGGACATCACCTGGGCTTATGGCAGTTTTCACATGAGAGAAAAGTTACAACGTTTAGAACTTTTTTGTTTGTTTGTTTTTCATGCATGCACAGAGTTTCAAGTTTCAAAAACATAGCACCAACTAGTGGCGTGGTGAGGGAATTACATCTTTCCCCCGACTACCGTCGCTTTGTAAACAGAGATTGAAATTAGAATGTTTTCATGTAAATGTGTTGATAGAAATGGGGAAAATTTCAGTTTTCATGGGATCATTGTTGTGTAAACAGGGCCTCAAAAGCAGTACAGCACCTAAAAGAGGAGGAAATCAATCCATGAGGCAAAAATTGGTGCTAAGGTTATATGGAAATAGGTACAGTGGGGCTTGAAAATTTATGAACTCTTGATTTTTCTGTATTTCTGCATAAATATGACCTAAAACATTGTCAGATTTTCACACCAGTCCTAAAAGTACGATCGATAAAGAGAACCCAGTAAAACAAATGAGACAAAAAATTTGCATTTGGTCATTTATTTATTGAGGGAAATGTTCCAATATTACATATTTGTGAGTGGTAAAAGTGTAAAAGTGAACCTTTGCTTTCAGTATCAAATTTAGTTGTAAACCAAGGCGAGGAATATTTGCCGTTTTCTAATGCAATTGTGTTTTTGTTTAAAACCCCCAAAAAACAACCGTAAACAATCAGGTAACGATGTAGAAATTGTGTTTGAAGCATAACAATTCCCATTAATACATAGAAATGTGTGTATTTTATTTTTAGTTTTGATGGCTTTATGTTATATATAGGAGTGTAACAAAAATTAATGACGTTCCTAAATGCCTTGATGTTCTGTTGTTTGACTATAATCTGCAGTTAAAAAAAGTGAATACAAAGAATGGAACAAATAAAAACAAAATGGCTTAGACTTTTTTAACTTTACATTAGTTATCGTCCATCAACAACGCTCAACAGCAGGGATGCACCCCTGGGCACATTAGCACCATAAAAAGCCAGTCTACATAATTGCCTTGTTTTTTACTAAATAATTGGTTAACCACCTTCACCCCCAGCCTTGTTAGACAACACTATGTGTTTTTAATGATACAGAGCCAAAACAGCCACTGCCAGCTGGCATGACACAGTTGCTGGCAGACTCTGCCTTTGACAAAAGATGGAGTGGACCATTTTACCCTTACAGTAACTTCCATAAGCTTTGAACTGTTTTTGGGACATGGATGGCTCACTCAGTGTCCAATAGAAACACCAAGCCATAGAGCAGCTTATGAATTCCAAGTTAGACAAATAAATTCAAACGTTTGTAGTCCAGTTAACTATAGATCTTCGTGCCAACCTTCAGTTTTTGATCATCTAAAGTAGGCAGCACATATATCAACACACTTAAGAGTTCATGAAAAACACATGGAGTCAATAAAGTACAAGGCCAAGGAAAGTGCACAAAGCAAAAATTAAACTAACGATTATAAATCCTAATTTCTTCATGTTGTCCAGGAGTGATGTCAGTAAAACACTTCATCTAGCTCTGTATTTTACGGAGACAGTTAAGCTATATTGCATTATCAGTTCGCTTTGATAAACATGTATAACTGTATGTACCTTAGAGGTCTAATGTGAACACCACAGATCCTTTTAGTAGAGATCTGAGTGATTGCTCATGAGGCCTGCCTACACAAGCGGTTTAAATTTTATTTTTACTGCTACTCAACCAGGGAGGCCAGGTATTTTAAGTGACATGGAAACAGTTAGAAATGTTTTCTTACCAGAAAAAAAAGAAAGCTAATATTACAAAGTCATTTATGTACAAAACATGTAAAACACTGTCTTGTTATGCTACAATGTAAACATAATATAGAACAGGACATAGCTAATAATTTAGAAAAAAAATTGAGTTTGACATGAAAACTATTTTTCCTGCTGTGATCATTGTGAGGTTAACAGGACAAATGTTCAATTTAAACATCCTTTTTCTATTAACTCAAAATGGGGAAAGACCTCTGTAACTCATACTTTTTCGTGAAAAAAGCAAATTTCTCTCAGGCAGATCCAACCCCCTCTTAAAAACTGGAAGCAAAGCTCGTTCAGCTCAGTCCCGGAAAAGAGATTTCTGACTAATTTGTCCCGAATCCTAATAGGTATCATTATGATTCCAATCAGATTATGAAAAACATATAGCAAGTAGGATATCATTGTTTATCCCCATTAGTAACCAAATCTGTTTTTTCTTATCGTCGCTAAATTTTTATGTCTCTCTCAACAAGCAGCAGTCATATTGTAGTGATTATGTCTGACTGTAAAAGAAAAGAGGTATTTGTGCTATTTTTTTTAAATCCCAGATTGTTATAATCAGTAATTTTATGTAGCTCATTCTT